TCTGTTTTCCCTTGTGGGCACTAGGTGTATGTGGAGGTGATGCTGAGCACCAGGGTTGGAGGGCTGGATAACTTTCCACGTAAGTCCTCAGCTCTGTGTGGGTTCTGGTTTTTGTTTAGTAATGATAAATGCTGCAACACACTCCTTCCTACAAGTGCTTCATAAGAATACATGTCAGAGAAGCAACTACTGAGTGTAACTGAAGCATGGAAATATTTAAGCAAGGATATAAAAAAGCAACTATGTTAGAAAGCAGATTCAAAATGTGACCAGAAACCCCCTGGAGATTCAATTCTGTTTCTGGTTTTGGGATCCATTTCTGTGTAGAGATTCCTTCTCACTCAGTGTTTGTTCTCATGTGTCGGGAAGCTGAGTATTGTAGCTTCATGGTCATTCACACAGGGTCCTGGTGAGCTGCTCTGACACCGAATGGTCCTAATACAGCTCTGCTGTTTGCAACTCTGATATCAGTTTCGGAGTACAATTCCCAGTCAGGGAGCAAAAACAGTTTAAAAGCTTGTGAGAAAGATATTTCCTTAGTTTACTGTTTGCAGAGTAAGGAGGAGTTATAACTTGGTGGATGAACTGTTCCTGCCTCCTTCCATCGCTTCCCAATCCTGGACAACAGGTATTATTTGAAGTGTTGTGCTCTAGGGGACAGCAGGAGTTTGAAAACTAAAAGCTGCATGAGACATTGGGAATGTCACTGGGAGGATTCAGCATCCGAACTTTTAAATTGAGGATAGCACAGAGGCCTGAAGAATATTGAGACAAGTTCAGGATGCACAAATTCAACCTGGTTTTCTTTCTTATGGCATGGTTTCCCTACAGAACAAAGCTTAAGGCTAACTGAAAGACCAGGAGAGTGTTAGGTGTTTGTCAGCATTCTCTTTCATGTGTCTGGCTTCTGCTGTATTAGTTGAATATATTAGCTGCTATATATTAGGTTGAATTTTATTCAGCCAGTGAGAGAAGAGGAATGCTGAACTAATCAAATAGAAGTATAAAGCCTTTATTTGATGAATCACCTGAAATTACATTTAATACATTTTTGTGCTCTGTATGTTACCAATTGATAACTTTTGATTTAAATATAGATACGAGTACAGACCTGAAACGTTTTTGGTATGCTCTTGCTATTGAGGACACTGTAACCCATCAGTCTTTCATCCCTCTGACAGTTGCAGGGTTAAGAATTGTTTAGCTTTGAACCAACCTTATGACTTGTCGTTGTCTCTTTGGGGTCAAATGTCAAAGATACAGGAAAATTGAATCTATAGAAGGTTTTTGGTCACCTTTTGCTTTCTAACAAACATAGTTGTTTTTTATATATAGTTGCTTAAATATTTCCATGCTTTAGTTGCACTTAGTAGTTGCTTCTCTGCCATGTGTTCTCATGAAGCTCTTGTAGGAGGGAGTTTGTTGTAGCATTTATCCCTTACTGCTCACATCGATACACGTTCTAAAAGATGATATGCAGGTCTAGGAAAAGACCTTTCCTATTGCAGTGATAAGCTGGACTGAGCTTTTCATGTGGAATGTATGACTGTGCTGGTGTCAAGAAGCATGGACTGAGTAAGGTGCTTGAAACGTCTTCACTGAGCCCTGCTCATCGGGTAGGTGATGTGGTGCGTCTTGCAGTCCTGTGTGCTGGTTGTCTGCAGCATTCCCTGAGGAAATTTCCCATTTTGTCAAGGAAAACTAGACAGAAGCAGGGAATGCGTCGATATGCTTTCTATGTCCAGGCCGTGCTCACCTGGGAATGAGTGCTGTGGAGCTGTTGGAGCAGCTCTGCTCTGGAGCCAGGCTGAGAGAGCTGGGCTGGATCAGCCTGGAGAAGAGAAGACTCCTGAAGGGGAGACCTGAGAGCAGCTCCAGTGCCTGAAGGGGCTGCAGGAAAGCTGGAGAGGGGCTTGGGACAAGGGCCTGTAAGGCCAGGACAAGGGGAATGGCTTTAACCTGTGTCCTGGGTTCAGCAGTAGCAGTCATTTTTCTCCTTCTTGGTAGCTGGTGCAGTGCAGTGTTTTGACTTTCAGCTCGGGAACAGAGCTGATAGAGATGTTTTGGTTTGGCCAAGGACTTTGTGAGCCTCATGCTCTGCCAGGGAGGAGGGGAAGCCGGGAGGAAGCAGAGACAGGACACCTGACCCAAACTGACCAAAGAGGTATTCCATACCACAGCACGTCATGGCCAGGAGGTAACTGGGAGTTAGCCGGAAGGGCTGGGAGACTGCAGGGTTGGAGGAGGTATCGGTCGGTGCTTGGTCGGGCTGAGGGGGGCAAGTTATCGGTCGGCTGGTGCTGAGGTGTTGTATTCTCTTCCCTTGTTATTTCCTTTATCATTATTATCATTGGTGGTAGCAGTAGTGATCTGTGTTATACCTTAGTTACTAAACTGTTCTTATCTCAACCCGTGGGAGTTGCATTCTTTTCGATTCTCCTCTCCGTCCCTCCGGGAGTAGGGGGAGGGAAAGAAGGGGGGGGGAGTGAGTGAACAAGTTACCTGACTGGGTTTAAACCACGACAACCTGCCCGAGGGGAGACTGAGATGAGCTCTTAGGCAGAAGCTCTTCCCTGTGAGGGTGCTGAGGCGCTGGCACAGGGTGCCCAGAGAAGCTGTGGCTGCCCCATCCCTGGCAGTGTTCAAGGCCAGGTTGGACACAGGGGCTTGGAGCAAGCTGCTCCAGTGGAAGGGGTCCCTGCCCGTGGCAGGGGTTGGAGCTGGAGGAGCTTTATGGTCCCTTCCACCACAAACCGTTCTATGAATCCCTCTGTGTGCTGCAAGCAGTACAGCCAGTGATTTCAGGAGTGTTCAGGGAATAAATATGCTCTCCTTCTGGGCTTGGTGGAAAGTTTTCCTCAAGTTTTGTTTTTAGCTGGCTGTCAAATCTAGTACTGTTAAGTCTTGACACCTTCTGGATCAGTAAGTTCAAAGGTGTCTTTGTAGTCTGAAGAGCAACTAAAAGTGACAAAGCAAGATTCCTTAACTGTGTCAGTTCTCTAAATTTAACTTTTTTAAGGATGAAGCAGTCTGTCTAATCACAGAATGATTTGGGTTGAAAAGGACCTTAAGATCACCTAGGACCAACCCCCTGCCAGTGGCAGCGATACCTCACACTAGATCATGTTGCCCAAGGCTCTGTCCAGCCTGGCCTTTAACACTGCCAGGGATGGAGCATTTACCACTTCTCTGGGCACCCTGTGCCAGTGTCTCCCCACCCTCACAGTAAAGAACTTCCTCCTTATAGCTAACCTGAACTTCCCCTGTTTAATAAGTATAATGTTAATATGTTATATATATAAGTTTAATAACTATAATGGTCTCATAACTACTCTAAAGTTGTAATACCCCCCTTTGGTTATGTTAATTCAAGTCTCCACACTTCTCTGCCCCTGGAGTCTGCAGGGGAAACTGGCATTACATTTGTACTAGATATTATAGACACACAAAAAATGTTCTTGTTTCAGTTCACGGCCTAAATACAGATGGGCAAAAGGGGCGATAACTTGGTCTGATGTCCCTTTTAGCTGTGGAGAGAATTAAAGCGCAAGTGACTTGCCCAGAGTCACACAAGAGGCCAGTGTTACAGAGTTGAGAATCAAAGCCATAATCTGAGCATTACCCTTATCTTCACTGCAAGACTAAGAAGAGAAATTCTAGAACAAAATTCTTATTCTTTAAATATACCTGAAGGCATAAGTTGGCTCAGGGCTTGAATTCATCCAGTGATGTGAGACCCAGCCAGCTCGACTGCAAGATAAACCAAGAAGAGATTAGGTTAAAGGACAAACAAAGGAGCATTCCCCCCATCCTCCGAAGCTGGAGCTTCACAATAGCGATTGTGTTCCTTCAGTAAGCACGGGCTGGGTTTCCTTAATGGCTTTTTAAAGGAAATCACAGCTTATCATCATGCAGGGATGTAATATCTTCATAAGCCAACTATAGCGTTTTAATAATTCATTATAATGTTATTGAATTGAAAAAAAAATCATGTTTTGGGGTTTAAAGCATCTTTTTTTGGTGTTATTTTTGTTAAGAAGACTTAAGATGAGACTCGAAGCGGTGCCTTGGCACCCGAGCCAGGTTGTCTGGGTCTCCCTCTGGAGGCCTTCAGAGGGATATCCCTCTGTCAGGCCGGGGAAACTGAGGCACTTGGAGGACTTGTGCACTGTGAGGTTTAAATCTTGGAGCCGCATTCCATATGTAGAACAAACTGCATCCTTTCACGGAGGTCTGAGGGAATAAAGGTGCTGACAGCTTGGCCACTGAGGCTTCACTGTGCTCTTTGTAAAGAAAAGGTTTTTGCTGTAGAGTCAAACTTCAGTTGCACCCCAGGAAATCAGCACTTGAACTTTAGCATAAAATATTCTCTCCTCATCAGACCACTACTTAATATTCCTCTGTTTCAACTGGGAGGTATATCTAACCGGGAGGTAAAGTGACTCATAGTAGATTCCATCTGGTGGAAAGATAGGATGTGAAGTATTTGTGTTATCAGGAGATACACAGGTATCTTCGTGTTTTTTTGCTACCCATGAGCTACATTTGATTCAACAAAATTAAGATGTTTCTAGGTTAAAAAATAACATTTGGTCTATTGCATGCTGGTAAAGGGGCACCTTCTGCATAGTAAGGGCTTGTTTCATACACTTGAATTTACTTTATGAAGTAGAAACCTATTTTAAGAGGTGTTGTACCGTGTTACTTGGCTGTTGCCAGGTAAAGCTGATTGCTGCTCCCTCTGCCTTGCTTGATTTGCTTCTTGAGGTGCAGTTCTTAATGATATGAATTGAACCAAAGCGATACGGATCAAAACAAAACACATATAAATGTGTTCTTAGCCTGGAATGTTGGATAGCCCAGCAAACAGGGAACGTGGTGGGACTCTGATCTCTGTTGCTGGCAGTGAGCTGTAACCTCTGAGCACAGATCCGCAGGTCAAACGGTTTGAAACTGGATTTCTGATAGACGTTGTTCTGTTGTTGCTGTTTTTGTTGCAGATGGCCGCACTGATCCAATTTTGGATGATGTAAGTAATGCCTTCAAGCTTATGGGGGTTAACCTGCATGAGCTGGAAGATTACATCCACAATATCGAGCCTGTCACTTTTGCACATCAAATCCCCTCGTTCCCCGTCAGCAAGAACAATGTCCTGCAGTTTCCCCAGCCGGGAAGTAAGGATGCAGAAGAAAGGAAGGAGTACATCCCCGATTACCTGCCACCCATTGTCTCCTCTCAAGAAGGTGCGAAATCAATCCTTTGCTTTAAGCTTTGGGCCATGTGTGTTTGCATGTTCGTTCTGCATCCTCAAGCAGTTGGAGCTGTGCTGCCCCAGAGCAGTGGCTCAGGTGTTACACAAGTGTGGTGTTTTACAACAGAGAGCAGTGCTGTGGCAAGGTTGTTTTCCACTCTTTCACTTTCCTCCAAGAGTAACATGGTGTTAAAATGCACCATCTTAATACACTTTTCTATATTGCGTTTGAAATTGAACTTTTTGGATGACAATAGAATTGAGTGCTTTTCGCTGTTATGTATTAGCCCACCTCTTATGGATACTGCGAGAGCTTCAGTAATTTGGTAAAGGTAGAAGAAGGAATGCCAGTATTCCCAGCTCCTGACAGGTATTTCATCTTCCTTCAAACAAATGTAACACACACAAAATTCCAATTAAAATGAATTCAGATCTAAAATAAGGAAGAGTCATGTAGAGGCACAGTGCCTTGCTTTCAGTCCTTGCTAATGTTGATTAGGGTTTTATCATGACTGGTTCAGCTGCTCTCCTTGTCCCACAGAGGTTGAGGGTCCCTGTAGTAGTGAAACTAACTTGCACAAGTGCTACGAGCTGCAGTTGCCCTGGGAGTTTTAACAGTGGCACAGGAGAAAGCTAAATTTGTTCTGGTTTTCGGCTGTATGACACTTGACTGCTAATAAGCTAAACCTTTAAAGAATGTGACCTACTCTCCCTTTCCCTTTGAATAGTGAACATCGCACAGCTGTACTTTGTGGGGAAGTTAAAACGTGAGCTTGTGGACTCTGAACAAAATTCCAGAGAGAAGAGCTTCATTTTTCAAAAGGGTGTAATGAACAGGAGCATTCCTCACAACATACTTATTTAATGGATAATGGATATCGTGCTCTGCTATTCATACTTGTCTGTTTTAAGAGCTAAGGTCTCAATGTCTGCACATGGATATACATGTGAAAGTTCTGCCCAGTGTGAAGATGAACGTAAACAGCATCACCTTACTGAGTAGACAGAATCCACGGCTGTGCAGCTACAAATGTCACACAGGGCGGTATTTCAATGATTAGCAAGCTGAAGTAAGTGTATGTTCAGCCTTTTATACATCATGTTCAGCTAGACAGATGCAGTTCCTATGTGCTCCAGTTAGACTGAGTGAGATTATAGTCGGGGACTCTTATCTAAGGTGTAAATGTCTGTCAGACACGATGGTTTGGGTGTGTTCAGAACAAATATACTATTTCCAGTGACAGCGTGAGGACTTACACTGGTGAGTACTTCGGAAGCTCTGTAGACCTGACTTTTCTCTTTAATTGCATAAAATACATAGTTATTTCATAGATCAATAGCATTTTAATGTCTTTTGCCTTAGTATAACCCAGGAAGCGAAACTACTGTTCAAAGCAGAAATCCTGTCTCGGATTGATAAGGAGATACTAAAATCTCCCTTTGTGAAGTTTGTTAAAAGGCTTGCTTTTCAATTCTAACAGTGAACTCTCTTCAACCAGGAAGAGGCAAGAAAATGTAAATATCTTATATGTAGAAAACATTCATAAGGCAAAAAATGGAGGAGGAAGACACTGAGAAGTGAATAGGGATTTTAGCTACCCCATTTCGGCTACCTGTAATGCTTTAGCCTGATCTTTTTCCGGAGGCAAACACCATTGTGTCAGAGAAATCCGGCATCTTTGAAGTGTAACAAGCTACCTGCAGTTTTGTGCCTATTTATTTAGTAACTTGGAAAATCATACTTTAAAAATCCACAAGGAAGATCAAATCCAAGGCGGCTCAAAGCGGCTGCAAAGGAATATCTGAACACGGGGAGTGAGAGATGAGAGTGTTGCAGGCTCAGTCTGCCGATACGTGACATACAAAGAGAGGCTAAAAATTGAAATGGGGACAGTTGTGCTGCTTTTTTTTTCCTTGTATGTAACTTTTTATACTCTTTCTCTTGCAAGTTAGATCCAGGAGTTAGATTTTAGCAGTCCTTATAAATAATGTATGAATCCTTTTAACACCCGAAGTAAGAAGATATTATTGCCAAAGTTGGATGAGAACCAGGAAAACTTCTGATGCCTCAGGCTAGTGTATCAGAGAACCTATAGGCACAGCTTCAGAAACATGAATACAGTATGTTTTTAATGGAAACTTAAAGCAAGCATTCAATACAACTGCTGAATGCAGGTTTCTTAGAGTTGATTTGAGATACTTAAGAGATGAGGGCGTTTTAATTTTGAATTGAACAGTTTCTGAAAATGCTGTTTGTAATTTTAAGCCCTGTGTTGTTTTTTTGGAAGGGGTGAAGTGGATCAAGAGACTCCGTTGTGTGCGTTTGGTTGTATTTAACTTCAAGTAAAACGAGACAGAAAAACTTACTTTTGCAGATGAAGGGAAATGCATCGTAAAACTACTGAGGAAGTGCACAAGCTGTTTGAATAGTTCGCAGAGCTTTACAGAGTCCAGAAACAATGTGCTGCTGCTAAGATTGTGCAGTCCATAAGATCTGAGTTCCTTTGAGTAGGCAGTAAAGATAATTAGGCAGTAATGGAGGAAAGCTTCATGCACGTTACGATGTATAATGTAAATCCTTCAGTCACTTAAAGAGCTGTCAGGACGACTTGTTCTGTCCCATTTTCTATCGAAGCCTAAAGCTCATCTCGTGTTATGAATATTTATTTACTGAGAGGATTCAGGAATCCCTGGTGCTGATATATTTTAGCAGTGGTGTAGCCATGAATGGTCTGAGGGTGTGAGCAGAACAAGGTTTAGTGGGAGATGTGATGTATTTTATATAATGGTATTTAATAATACTATTTAGAAGTATTATCTCTGGCAGCAGACTGACTTCATAGGTAATTTTATGTAGGTGCTTTAGTAAGAAAAAGCTGGGTTTAATTGTTAACTTAAAAACCAAACCAGTGTTCAGTATGCACCATGACCAGTAGGTGTTGCTAACTTCCTTCTCAACAGCCCTCTAGTTCTGCGCCTGCAACTAACTTCTTTCCACTTACTCTAGAACTGGGGGTGTTGTGTTCAGCGTATACCCAGCAGCTTGTGCGATGTCTTAGTTACCACTGCTCAATAAGAGCAAAAAAGCCCTCTCCAGCCTGAGAGGAGCCATTCCCTCCGTATATACTCAATAGTAAAAAATGCTGAAACAGCTCTAAATGATTATTGAAGTTGAGGGGAAAGGGAAGAAGGCAAATAGGTTTTCCACATGTGCAGTCCGTGTCGGTTGGAAGCTCGGTTGGGTGATACACGTTGTGTTCCAACAAAGCAGAAACTCTTCTCTTGCTTTAGACAGAGATTGCGGTATTCCAGTAACATGCGCCAACCAAACGCTTGCGCTGCGAGGATCTACATGTATAATTCGATATAAAACAATCTGACTCACTATTGCCATGGCAAATGGTGGCTTTTTAGCAGGGTTTTTACAAAGGACACTGAAGAAATGATTTTATGCCAATGCATCATGATGTTCAGTGCCTGCCTATTTTTAATTAGCCTCCTTTTTGTTGTTTTGAGTTATTTTAGCGCTGTTGTCACTAAAATGTCATGGTCAACTTGTAAGACAGATTAAAAAAGGAGGAAAAAATAAATTAGTTGCAAAACATGATGGTCATGCTTTATTTCTTGGGCTTTAATGCAAAAGAACATGCATTTTGCAATAATATAGCAGCTTCATAGAATTTGTTGATTGCATTTGAAGCAGAGCAGTGCTGTGCTGAAAGTAGGCCAGAGAGAAAGCCCAAATACTTTTCCACACCTAATAATACTAATAGTAGTAGTAATCATCATAATAATCATCATAATAATCACTATCACATTTTGTGATAATGTTGAGCTCTGCATCCTGATGCTTTAAGAACATGTATCATTCTTCATAGCTAAAACAAAGAGTGAATCCTGCATGTGCCATAGTAACCTTGTTTTTAAGCTTCCTAGGATGAATTTCTACCTGTGCTTACTGCCTTTTGTTATTACCTCATCAATAATAATAATAGTTTATAAAAATAAGCACTTTTTGTCAGCTGCTTTATTTTCCTGTCTTTCTGAAGTCCCAGGTAGTCGATCCCTGTTTCTCTAACCAGAAGACTGAAGAAAACAGGTTGTTGTTGTGCATGGAATGCTGTTTGTAGTCTGTTATATTTTATTAGACCCTCATTTCTCTCTTACAGCATAGTTGCATAAGATGCATAAGATACAGCTAAGGTGCATAAGAAGGATAAGAGGGAGAAGACATGAGCGTCTCTTTGCAGTACTTGAGAGTTATCTGTGAGGAGAAGGGTAGCTTTCAGGGAGTCAGACTTCTTCCTGACTTCTTGCTTCATTTTTTTCTGTCTTCTGCTTCATACCATTTCACCCCTGCTTCATAAAGGTGCATCTCCTCTCCCTTAATGAGGATCTGGAAACAAATGTGATTTTTACCAGAATTAAGTTTTGTGGTCTTTCATTCCTGATAACACGTGTTCAAACGCTGGCAATGTATTTCTGATGATTGAGTCAGGACCAGTTCTTGGCGCAGTGTACAAATTTGGGTTTATTTGTAGCCTTTTCTGTCAGAACATTTTATTTCCCTGGCAGATCAAAGCATAAAATTGTTGATTTCTTACAGTCCTGCCTTTTCCCCTTTTTGCTGTTGATGTGATGTTAGGTTTTGGTGGGTAGCAAGTCTTGCAGCCACCTGGAAGTGTGGAAACCCAGCTGTCAAACCATCTCGGAACATATGTCGTTTGTTTCAGTATTAGTTGCTCAAATTCACATTTGGATTGATGAGAAGGGGGGATATGTGTATGAAGCAAGGTGCTATGACAACATAATTTTTGCATCTGATATCTGGGCTTTACCAGTGCTGTAGAATTGTAACTGTATAAGCATGAAGCACCATGATGGTCCAAAGCATTAGTGTCTACCTGCAGTGGTTTAGATATATCAGGTTTTTAAATCCATTGGCCTTTCCGTCTAGCATTCCTTTCGTTGGGTCCAGAGCTGAACGTAGCA